CCTATTCAGTGTCTCGGCTCTTATCTTGTCCAGCTCTTGGGTGAGAGCCAGGCAGCTTTCCTCCGAGCCAACCGCCCTCTCCTCCGCGGCAGAAAGACGCCGTGTCTGCTCAGTAATCCTCCCCTCAGCATCGGCAAGGGCAGCACTTAGCTTTTCAGCGCCAACCTTTGCCGACTCAGCGTCCTTGAGGAGTTGCTCGATTTGAGCAGCCTGCCCTGCCAAGGTAGAGTCTCTGGCAGCCACATCCTCCATTGCTCGGGAGAGGGCCGCCTCCGCCCCCTCCTTCTGATCTTGGGCCCGCTGGAGGTCCATCCTGGACCCATGGTACCGAGCAGCTATCACGGAGATCTGCTGGGTAGCCTGCAAAGGAGGAAAAAAAGTGTTATCACAAAAATGGAAAGCAAGAGAAAAGAAACCAAAGAAAAGGAACTTACCACCAGGGAGTTTTGGATGATGGAGCGAAACAACACGTTCGTTGAACGCCCCCTATGAGCCGCCGTGTCAGCCTCGAAATGCAGTGTCTCACTCACTGCATGGGCGACATGAGGATCCAGCAAAATAGAATCATCGACCCTGATAACTCGGTTCATGTGATCAGTGGCTCGGGGATTCCACTCCGCGGCTTCCGCTGTCGGCGGAAGGGAAGGGGAGGCCTGTTGCTGCTGTTGTTGCTGTTGTCGTTGCTGTTGCTGCTGCTGCTGTTGTGGAGGAGCAGGGGGTAATCCACGGCCTCTCCCGCTTTGCTGCTGAGCGGGAGGTGCCCTGGATCCTCAGCCGAGGCCATCATGCCGATGTTTGACCCTTCTCTCCTCCTCCACTTGGGGATCCCGGTCTCGCACCTAACCCCGACCAAGGACCCTTGAGGATGGGGTGGAACTGGTCCCTGTAGAGGCGGTGCCGCCAGTCGTTCCTCGACCTCTCCCGGCTGCGAGGGCTTGCCTCTGCCTTAGGAACCCGAGATCGATGCGAGGAGTGTTGGACATCGCGACCTCAAGCGCGTCCTCGGCGTCCAGAGATTGAAGTACTTGGAAGTCTGGCCACACGTCTCCTCCCGAAGTCCCCACCTCGGCGTCCGAAGGAACAACGTCCTCTCTGACCCCGAGCTCTTCAGTAACTCCGTCTACCTCTGCCTCCGAAGCCCGGTCCGAGTCTTCCTCCAAGTTTTCCTCAACCTCTAACCTCGCCGCCTGATCGAAGAGTTCAGACCACCGCGAAGGATCAAAAGGCTGAGGAAGCTGAGAAAATTTCTTGTACCCTGGGGTATAGTTCAGCAGGACGTGGGCAGCTCGACCAAATCCGTCGTCACCCGTGAATCTCCAAACCGTAGTAAGGTCGGCAAAGTTCACCAGCGACCGAGGGGGAGGAGCTGTTTCCCGAGCAGGGATATCTGCACAAACAAGAAAGTAGTCATGAACAAGGGAAATCTGGAAAACGAAATAGTAAACCCGAAGGAACCGACGTACTTGTCGTTCTCCACTCTAGGGGGCAGAACAAGTCATTATACTCGGGACCAACACCCCTCTGCCAAGATCCCTTGAAAATAAGAATATCATCCTTGTACCCCTTGTCCGAGTCAGGAATGTGGGTTACAAGGTACATGGAGGGGTCCCTGGCTTTGAGGTAGAAGTGTTGGTGAGGCATGACTCTCAGGAGGGAATAACAAAAAAGGAGATCGTTGAGCCCAATATTTACCCCGAGGCGCCTATTGAGCTCTAAGACCCCCATGATTATTCGGAAGACATTAAGGCAACATTGCCCGGGGAAGAGGCGGAAATGAGAGAGGAACCGAAGGAGTAAAGGGGGTAAAGAAAACCTAATTCCCCCCTCTATTATGGCCTTAGTATAGAAGGGCATGGAATCCTCGGTCCCGAGGGTAGAAGAGTGCAGCACCAGGTCATATTCCTCTACATCTACGCTCGGGGGAATGCCGTACTTGGCCCTAAACCTATTGATCTGCACATCGCCCTTTACCTTATACTTTCCCGATCCCGAAGAACCGGCTTGAGGATTCTTGGGAGCAGGGCGACGACGAGGCATCTCTAAAAAAGTAAGAAAGAAGAGGGTATTTGCTATGTATCGACCGAGGGTTAGATCGTTATGTATCGACCGGATGACGCCTCCAGTCAATCGGAAAACAAAAGGCTAGGAGGAGGAAAAGAAAGAGGATTCTGAAACTCACCCGAACGTCAAAATGGAGTTTTTTCTGGAAAACCTTAAAGCGACTCCCTCCAGAAAGTTCAGGAATCAACAATGGACCTGCTGGCTTTAAGATTTTGAGGAGGAATGGGCAATCGACGATGGCAGAAGAAACAGAAACTCCGACGAAGGATCAAGAAGAGGTACTCTGGAGAAAGTTCGAAATGGCAAAATGAGGAAAACAGGAGAGAAACCCCCTTTATATAGGGGTAATCTTCATCATTGGGCACGAAAAACGAAACGGCGCATTTAATGCACACGACATCCCAAGCCGGGGAAAGCGGCTCGAGGCCATGATGAAGGACGGGTGGTAGTTGGGAAACCCTTCGTCTTCTTACGACGCGTGTCCTCGGTGTCAGAAGATCGAAGGCTGGGGGGCAGTTGATGGAACTTTTCTGAAATACCCTATGATGAAGACACGTGTCCTCGGTTTACTAAAACACTGTTGCTAAGATCAAGCAGCATCGGCGTATGAATGCCCTCGCCCCCGAGGTACCGTCATATAGGATTATACATTCATTATATTTTACAACCGACACGTGTCCTCGGTCAGATACGTACCTCGGTCGGCATAACTCCCTCGGTCCCCGAGATCAGCCTTTCCTCGGTGCCGAGAGGTACCCCTGTCCTGGACGCCTCCTCTACTCCAGGATAAGCTACTGACGTACAGGTCATCAGCCTAGGCTAGTCTAGACTATTCATCATGACCTCGTCTTACACAAGTAATGTCAGAACATACTGGAATACAGAGGTCATAGCCAATAGGGGATGGACGCGTGGCATATGATATCACATCAAAGACAGACAAACCGCATGATGTTGCTGACATGCGCTTTGGGAAAGCAAACAATTAATTGCACCATTCCCTTGATGAGACCGCATTCAATGCGGTAAGGCTCGGAAATGAAAGACAATAAATGCTCTTGTTACAGAGCATTTATTGCATCCTCCCCGAGAGGAGCACATTGTACCGTCGGCATCCCGATGATCCAGTATTGATTGCTCGGGACCCCGAGCAGTTAATTAGAGAAGACATTCCTCATCAGAATCAATGCACACGCAACCTGCACCTAATGATCACCTACTGACCACACTGACAGCAATCATGAGCTTTTAAGGTATAAATACTCCTTGCAAAAGGCAAGACGGGGATGCAATCACAAACTCTCTACTACAATATATTTTTCTCAGTGTTTTCTCCTTCCTCTCTCTCACTCAAAGACTGACTAGACCGTCGGAGGGGATACGCCGGAAAACACTCCGGCGCCCTTCTAATTTGTTTTTCTTTGTTCCAGGATCCTCTTTCAGCCTTACTGGATCATCCTCCCTCTCACCCAGGGTCTCCCGTTGCCGTTCCAGGTTACCACCGGACCTCGCAGGCTGTTCCAAGCAGCGTGGTTGGTCACTCAACTGGCACACTCGAAGTTCACCAGGGGAGAGATCTGTTCTCGTTTTTTATATTGTGCAGGATCTTGCACGCACAGAAATGATCCATAACTTTCCTTTTGATTGGCAATTAATTTGGTGGGGAAAATAAAAAGATTAAATAACCGTAATGGATCTCTAAACAATTAAACTAGATATCTTGGTATTTGTTTTAGTTAATAGTACGTATTAGCTTAGTACCAAGCCAAAGAAATAGTTATCTTGGTAGATTTTTCATGTATGAAAATAAATTGTATTTATAGGTATGAATATATATTGAGGGTTTAATTTTTTGCCCAAAGAATTTTTATTTTTTTCTAATTGTTGTTTTATTTTTGGTTACGTAGGGTTTTTTAGGCACAGACACAAGTTCAATTGAAATAATCATTCTGATTTGTTTCAATTTGTCTTGGATTTTGGACTTTTATTGCAACAATTTTTATGTAGAAACTGATGGTTGAATTTAATATATACAGATTTATATGGACAAAGTTGAACGTTATTCTATTATTGATATTATTATGTTGTTGTGATAGTTGATAAATAGTTTTGTTAAGATAAAATTGGAGCATGCTATTGAATCCTATAAATGAATTGTATTGTGTTTGCTTTAAATTCACGTGTTTCTTAATAATAAGTAAATTTGTACTAATTATTAGCCATGAGATAAATTATATACACAAGTTGATTTTTTGGTTTGTTATGCTTTTAACGTAAACGCTATCAATTTATATATATATATATATATTAATTGTGGGTTTTGATTGATTTAAAATGGTGTAACTAAAAAAAGAAAGAAAAATAAATTACTATTTGAAATATTTATATACTATTGAAAATATTTGTATTATATGATTACTGTTTGATTTTGTGTTGTATAATGCCTATTTTTCAAAAAAAAAAAATTGGTTATTTCAATTCGATATAATAAACTTGATTCTATAGGGTGCTTAATTTTTATATTTTACTGTACCTTCAGGCATAAGTTGTTACTAGATTTATAACTATTTTAAATTTATTTCAAATACATGATTCTTTTTTAAAAAAAATACATGATTTACATTCAAATTATACATTTTTTATTCAAAAATCTTAGAAATTGATTGATAATGTTTCTTCACATTCTTTTTACATGTTTTGTTGAAGTCAAAGATTAGAGAGGATCTAATACGCAGCACATCAAAAACTTTGAAGAAGTAATATTGGCAAAAGAAAACCATAATAAGAAAACTGATTGATCCGATCGCCTGGGCAAACCCAAAATTGAGAATTCCCTCCAAAATAGGAATAGGGTTACGGTTTGAACAGCTTCCACATTTGGCTCCTCTTGCCTCCTCTTGGTAGTCATTCTACTACAATCTTTCCGCCCATTCAACTCTCTCCTTCTCTTTCTCTCTCCCTCTCTTCCCTCTGCCAATCAGCAACTCACCCCCACACCCACGCCCGTAAAGGTGCATCTCTCTCTCTCTCTCTCTCTCTCTCTCTCTCTATGTATAGATATATATGCATGTATGGGTGGGTGTATGTATTCTTGTCTTCCTCTTACTAGTGCCTTGAATTTATCTTTTCTTTTTGATTGGACTGCTTGGAATTATCATACATTGTTTTGTGAAATAAAATTCAATTGTTACTTTGGGTAGGTTTGAATTGGGAGTTTAGTTTCAAATGAGTGCTTCCTTGCAGAAATATTCATTATAGATGGTCAGAATTTGTTAGTAGGTATTAACGTTTGAATGTATCGAAGATACCTGACATGTCTGAGATCAAAAGTAACATTGGCCAATATGTGTATATGTCTCCATTCTGGTTTGAAGCGAGCCCCGGAATATTGATAATTCAAGTCAATTATCATAGAGGTTGTATTTTTGCGGGCTGGATTTTTAATTGATAGATTTTATCAGTGGAATTTTCTTTTTCTATTTCGTGAACAGGATATCAGAAGTTGATATATCTAGACCATTATTGTGGAGACGATATAGACTATAAGACTTTTTTGTCTAAAGAATGGCACAGTATTTTGACATTGATGATATTCTGGCGGAGGATGAGGTAAATGCCCATTTCTTCCTATCTTTGATGTTCTTACTTCCACTTCATAAAACTAAAAGATATGTTATATGTTATTTTCATGATGCACTTGCCATCCATTTTCGTTGTTCTGCTCTTAATCAATACCAAAGAACAGATATATGTCTTGCTGGAAATGCTCTGATTCCCATTGATAACAAGTAGGCCCTTCTGGATTTATGGGTCTAAAATTCTACTTACTCTTGCTCACAGCTTGTTCCAGCTGTATTTAAAGAGGCTGCAAATGGGGTTGGGATCTTCGATTCAAGTGATGATACAAACAGGGTAAATCTGAGGTAGCTTTAGTTGAAATGTAGGTTGCTGATGAAATCTAATCATTGTGTTTTTCAATCTCAGGTAGAAGCGGGTTCAAAGGCAGAGCTGCCTTTCTGGCTTGCTTCTGAGTTGCACTTGAGACAAGCAGTTTCCATTAACGTTCCCCCTTGTTTCAATAAAAAGTAAACTCTTAATAATTTCAGATGATTTTCTTATGTGTTGCTTTTCATCTGTCTATATGGTTTTCTTAAATGTCAGAACAAGAGAGGAAATTGAAGCTGATGCTGCACATGTTGATCTAAGAAAGCGATGTCCATATTTCTACGAATTAGGATGCAAATTAGCACATTTGTAAGTTTCTTCCCTTTAGTCGTTTTTATGTGCAAATCTTAAGTTTTTAAACCATCAAATAAGCCTGTCTTGGTTTGAATGATTTTTCTAGACTTGCCTTGTTATGAACTCTCTATGATTTGTAAAGATACTTTTAGAGAGGACTGCCAAGAATACGTATGGAACATACACAATGCTATGCTAGGATGCCACCAAGAATGTTGCTTTACTCCCGTTAGCCTGCGGATATAGGGAAACTTTTTCAAGTGTGAAGCAGTATTTGTTAGAGGCCAAATTGAGTCATACAAGTGCTAAAGACTGAACTGTAATTTGGCATTAAGATGGGTCAGACATTTTCTCTGTCATGTCTGCATGTCGGGTTGTGAAAAGGCTATAGAATCAATTCTCTAATACTAAAGGTACAAGGGGAAAAACAATATGTTGACTTCTAGTCAAACTTTAGGTCCTGCAAACTCTAAAGACTGAATTATTTGGCATCACGCTGGATCATGCACTTTCTTTATCATTTTTGGAAAAGGTTAGTTAAGCTATGCTTTTGTACCAATGGGTATATGGGGGATTACAGTGTGCCGGATTTGAAAATTGGACGGCTATTGGAAATGCAGAGGCCCACTGGAAATTTGTTATGCATGCTATTGCAAAAGGCTTTGACAGATTCTGAGAGATGCTAAGATGATGTTGAAATAATTCTAAAGCAAGCTCCTGTGGAATGAGGCTATTATTGTTATTTTCATTCATTTGCTCAGGTGTATTCTTACTTAGATAGTTATGCTCCAAGGATGCACAGCAATGCAGGCCTATGCGTCAGGTAGACATGCTCCTACTCTGGATGACTAATATATTCGGTTTCAGAGTGTGAAAAAGGCTAGTCGAGCAAACTAGCTGCTAGCTCAAGCTCAGCTCAGAAGTTTTAACCAGCTCCAAATGAAACTTGATTTTGGATTGTTTATTTCAGGAGTTAATCTGGAATGAGTGTCTAACAAAGCAGAACTCAAGTTGGGAATTTTTTGCAGTAGTAGAGTGCTCACTAGTTTATCCTGCTGAATTTGAACCAGACTCAATGACCTAGAGTTATACAAATATGATCGGTATCGGTTTTCCTATATCTCTTGAGTGATATTGAGCAAAAATTCTGACCAAACAAATCATGAGCCGAGGCTAAGTAACTTGATTTGTTTCATAAATCTGCTTTAGCTACAGATCATCTTTGTCTAGTTACAACTTGCAGTGTAGAAGCAGTAGTTAATCAAACTTTTGGGATGATTGTGGGATTCTCTTGTTAGGTTAGAGCACGATGCTCATTCTGATTCTTTTCTCCACCCTCCCACCAATACCAAAACCCCAAGCACTGATAGTAATGGCTTCATTAATTGTTGATTCCGGTATAATTGAATTTGGCAAAAGACGTCCAACTAGGGAAATAATGGGAGCATTTGAGGAAACCCCAACATATCTATTCCTGTAGATTTCTCTTTAGTTTTGATTAATGATCATCTCAATCCTTTCGTTTTCATTCCTTGCTTGGATCAGTACTTCTTAGGCAATTGTTGAAAATTTTAGTTGGGATAGGAACTTCTTTGGTAGTTAAATAAGTATCGGCTTTTTCTATTTCCACATTTAATGGCAATCTGGTCCTTCATGGTAAGTTGTTGCATGAATGATGTCAGAGTTGGACTTCATTATACTAATCAGATGGTTAAATATGGTCAAGAGTTTTTTGGCAGATACTCTTTAATCTTTACATGTTCAAGTGCTTGTTAAATACATCTATATGAACTAGAATATATTTGGTGCAAACATTTGAATGCTGCTATTTAGAGCATTTTAATCTTTGTTGTTGTTCTTGTTATCAGCTTTTTTGCTTTTCTTTTTAAATGCAGTTTGTTCATTGATAGGGAAGGTTGCTTGTTAAAAGTTAACTATATAACTTATGTTTTCTGGCCATGTGTTACGAGGTGAACAACAGTGTCTCATTTGAGATTGTTTTCTTGTACTGGACAGGATTGATGATAGAATTCTTAGCGATAAAAACATAGGACCTGTCCTCTTTGTCGCCTTTCAGACCAGGTATAAGGATGTCCTGGTCAAGGCACACACTTCAGCATTATCCGTAACTGCCAAAAATTTAACACTTCTAACAAGAGAAGAAACCAAATGTGAGATTTCTCGAATCACTATAACCATTTTTCGTTTTTCTTTGACATTTATATTGAGTTTAAAACCTTGATTGTGATTCTTGTTTTGCAGTGTACGAGACCGCTCAATCCTCAACAGCAGCATTTAAGAAGTGGAAGATGGGTGGCCCCAGATTTCAGAAAGCTTATGTTCTTGGGAGGAAGAGGAAGCCAACTGAGTAGGGTTCCATGTTAAATCTTGTGGTGTGTTTCCTTCATAAGGCCATCACCAATTAAACCTTGTCTGTTTGTATGTGAGATTTACACCTGACCCTTAGTCATGTACTTGTAAAACTTAGTGTAGGAGGTTCACTAGTACTTGAGCATGCCTCCCAAAAAAAAATCACAAAAAAGAGGGGGAAAAGAGGAAAAAAAATATTAGGTATAACCGATACACCACGTCTTATTTAGTGGTTTGTTTTGTTTTTATTTCCTTACTCCTTTGCTTTCTTTTCATGCCTCCAGATTCAGATGTGACAGTGAAAAAAAAAATGCAGAAACACCATTGCCATTTTTAAGTTGCATGAAGCTCCAGAATTACAAACCATTAGGCTTATCTTCACAAAAAAAAAAAGAAAAAAAAAAAAAGAAAGACAACTGGCTTCACCCTTCATATATTACGAACAAAAGAGAAACAGGATGGCTATGAAGCGAATTGAGCCAAGCGTTAAGCTCTTTGGGCTCGCTCATTTGTTCACAAAGAATGCTCGAGATCGTGATGAACATTAAGCATATAATTCGAGCTTGAAGCATCAATTATTTATTTGATTTTGGATACTGGTTCGACACATTTTATTAAACAATTTGAGCTCGAGTGTATAAAGTTCAATTATAAATGATATTTTTTATTTTAGCTGAGTAATTCAAGGTGATTGGGTTTTTTATATTCTCTCAGTAGAAAATATGACTAGAACTAATAATCGAACATGTTTGAATTGAGCTTGTTTAAAAAAATTTTAAGCTCAATTTGAATAATTTTTAAGCTCGTTTAAAAAAGAGTTTGACAAATTAGACTCGTTTATATGTAAATACTAAAGTTCAGTTGAGCTTATTCAATCCTAAATATGGCCACGAGGGAGTGCATTCTAATAAGGGTAGGATTTTGATATGAATGACGTACCACATTTATAAAAAGAAAAAAAGAAAAAAAAAGAATTAAGACAATATAAACAATAATTTTTTAATATAATATAATTTGATTTAATTAATTTTAGGGAAAATTTCACCAACACACCTTCTAGTTAGGTCTAAATTCAATGACACCCCCTTCTGATTCTGAAACTTCATTGCATCTCCTTTTGGTTTATATTTTCAAATAAAAGACACACCCTTAACGGTAATTTTTAACTCTATCAGTACAAAAAGTAATAGTTTAACTATAAATTTTCTAAAAATATCAAAACTATCATTTCTTATGTAAATATACTAAAATGTTATGAACCATTTTCCCACTACATATACCATACCTTTCGTTGTTGCTTAAGGTCAAAAATGATCTGGTGTTGCTGGAAAACACTGGGGACTAAAGTCATTCATTCTTCTTCAATTCCTTCTCCATAGTGATCGATCACTATCTAAGTTGGTAAAAAAAAGTTTATTTTATTTTTTTTCTTGCAGATTTGCAAATGTTTTTCATGCATTTTTTTTTTATTTTTTCATGCTGACATTTTTTATTTTTTCATGCAAATTTTTTTTATTTTTTTCATGTAGTTTTTTTTAAAAAAAATTCATGCAAATAGTTTTAATTTTTTTCATCCAAACTTTTTAAATTTTTTTCATGTAGTTTTTTTTTATTTTTTCTCATACTGGAATTTTTAAACTTTTTCATGCAATTTTTTTTAAAATTTTGTTCATGCACATTTTTTTAATGTTTTTTCTTCCATTTTATTATCTTAATATGTTGTAATGTATTATTGTATGATTGATGTCTTCTTCAACTGTTGATAGAGACAAAGACATAAGGGATGAGAAGTTTGACATAAGCGTGATTTCTATAATTATATTATCCCAATGAATTTTTATCATTTTAAATCGTTGCATGATAACTTTGTTATAATATTAGAAATCATATTATCACTCATTTAGTTACATAATCGAGTTTTTATAATTTTTATGTTTAAAAATAATTTTTCTATAATAAAAATTAAAATCAATAAAGTCTATATCAAAATCTCATCAATTTCTAACTCATCAGCTATCATTTGTGCTCCACAACGTTACCTGACCACTCTTCACACATTACCCTTTATATATAAATTTTAAATATTAATATGGAGTTAATTTGATATTTATATGTAGCATTGATTTGATAAAATTTAATATTAATTGAATAAATTTAAATGATGCTTTAATGAAATTGAATGTTCATTTGGTGTTAAATTAAATAAATAATATTAATTTGATAAGGTTAAATGTTAAATTAGTGAAATTTAATATTCTATTTAATAAAATTAAATGTCAATTTGTTGTTAATTTTATGAAATTAAATAATAATTTAATTTTAAATTAAAGAAATAATATTAATTTGATGAAATAAAATATTAAATTAATATAACTAAATGCTAATTTGATAAAATTAAATATCAATTTGTGTTGATTTGATGAGATGAAATATTAATTTAGTTTAAATTGAATAAATAACATTAATTTCATAAAATTAAATATTAAATTGATGAACGTAAAAGGTTAATATAATCTATACTACTACTAAAAGTACATTAACATGAAAAAATTTAATTTCCTATTTTACCCTCATAAAAAATTAAAAAGACCACTCTATCCTTCCACCCTTAATATCTAAATTGTCATCATATCCCTATGCATTTAATTTTGTAAATTATATCTAAGATCACTTTTAATTATATATTTCTTATGTATAAATGTCAATTTTATGAAACTTTTTGATTGATTATATTATTTTTAAAAAATATATGCATCATTATAAGTTTTATTAGTAATATAGATATTCCATATGTATAAATGTAAATTGAAGTACATTAACATGAAAATTTTTTGATTCTCTATTTTACCCTCATAAAAAATTAAAAAGACTACTCTATCCTTCCACCCTTAATATCTAAATTACCATTATATCCCTATGCATTTAAATTTGTAAATTACATCTAATATCACTTTTAATTATATATTTCTTAGGTATAAATGTCAATTTTATGAAATTTTTTGATTGATTGTATTATTCTTAAAAAAAATATATGCATCATTATAAGTTTTATTAGTAGTATAGATATTCCATATGTATAAATGTAAGTTTTATGAAATTTTTTGACTGATTATATTACTCTTAAAAAATATATGTATCATTATAACTTTTAACAAAAATATTCAAAAAAAATTCAAAAATTTCATCCATATAATATTACTCACTTCATTTATAAAGATAATATTATGACTACACATGCATATTTTATTTTTTATCAAAATGTTTAACCTTGCATGTATATTTTATTTTTTGATAAAAAATAATGTGTATATGGTTTTACATAATTTTTTAGTCATAATAAACTTTTCAGATTGTGTTAAAATTTTATGTGAAAACTTGATTTTTTTTTAATTTTAATATGTTCTATAATATATATTATAGGATTGTATATTAAATTTTATCTCAATTGACCTAGATAATTATAAATACAGTGAGGTTCCAATATAATTGGTATATTGATAATTATTTTTATTTTATTCAATGATTTATAAATGAAATTTTAATCAAATTAATTTTTTAATTATCTATTCTCTATTTATAATTGTCAATTTTTATGAAACCTTTTGATTGATTATGTTCCTCTTAAAAAATATATGTATTATTATAAGTTTAACAAAATATTCAAAAAAAAAAAAATTTAAAAACTCCATCAATATAATATTATTCATCTAATTTATAAGGATAATATTATGATTATATATGTATATTTCATTTTTCATCAAAATGTTTAACTATTTTATTTTTAAGATAAAAAATAATGTATGTATAGTTCTACATGAATTTTTAATCACAGTAAACTTTTTAAACTATGTTAAGATTTTATGTGAAAAATTGATTTTTAAAAAAAAATTAATATACTTTATAATATATATTATAGCAATGTATATTAAATTTTATTTCAATTGACCTAACTAATTCTAAATACATTAAGGTTTCAATACAATTGGTATATTGATAATTATTTTTATTTTATTTAATGATTAATAAGCAGAATTTTAATCAAATTAATCTAACAAAATTTAATTTTCAAACATCACTAATCAATCACTTTCGATTACAAAATTATAGAACAAATAGTAGTTTAATTATTTATTTATTTTTATCATTTTTCTTAAAATTAAAATAACAAATCTTGAAAACATATAAGCTTTCAAATATTTTATAGTCGGACATGAGAGATGAAAAAAAAATGTTGATAAATTTTATATGATATTTAATTCAAGTACACATATACTAAATATTTATTTATTAATTTTTTAAAAAAAATTATTCACGTGTAACGCACGTGGTACATTACTAGTAAAACTAAAAGAGAGTGCATTGAAATTTCAGAATCAGAAGGAGATATTGTTAAAGATAAGTCTTTTTATAGGGGTGTTGATGAACCCAGATTTAGCTAGGTCCAAGCCCAATTAATGAGATAGACCCAAATTAGCTAAAAAGAAGGTCATGCCAAACTCATGAATGCGGTCCGATCCAAAGTTCAAGAGATCCAGGAAGGTTAGTGCATGTGAGGAGTAATTACCGGGATAGTTACTCTCTTAGATAAAGACTATCTTCAATTGTATCTATCCTAGTTGTAGCTATCTTCCTCAAAAACCTACTAATCTATCCCTCACGTCACCGCCTCAATTAAGGTTCTGTGCCTATAAATTGTAAGTTTTCAACACATGAGTGAGACATCTCTATATCCCACACATAACTATCTCTCTACACATCTTACAGAGTTATCTCTCTCATAACTACCAAGAGGATACTCATGCTCTATTTCTCTCTCACCTATGTGTTGCTTGTGTGAATCTTACCTCTATATTTATTGTATTTATTATCTACATTAATTGCTCGATAGGTGATACATAAGTCTATTTGGCGCATCATCAGATATCGTTGAAATTATGTCTATTTACAAAGAGTGTGGATAAAATTTACCCTATAAAATACTTAGAGATATTTTTATAATTTAATAATTATCGTTAACACCGTAATTTTATAAACACGGGGTGACAATAAAGATTCAAGATTAAGAATAATTGTCGTACAATTTAGACCTAATTGCGGTGCCTAAAATTTTCCCTTAATCTACTATTTTGGTTGGTCCGCATTGCTACTATGATTGTCCATATGCATCCTCACTTCATTGGCTAGTGTGGACGGACTCTCCGAGAAAACTAAA